TCATCGTTACTAACCGAAGCGTGTATCCAATAGCCTTTCTTAGCTTTTTATCAGACATTTTAAGCCTTTTAACATGATTTTTGTAAATTTTTAGTGATTATGGTAAATAAAGGATTATTATATTATTATTATTATTATTATTGGTGTTTTTTACTATTATTAGTGCAACGAGTGGCATTTGTAACCTGTGTGAGGCCACACTCTTAGTGGTCGATAGCTGTGTTTTAAGAGTTTTCATCAAAAAAGAGCTACAAATGGAAACTAAATAGATGCATTATCTCTGCATGATGAGCAAGAGTTTATTCTACAAATAGCTACCTGATAATGGAAATAATAAACAATGTTTTGTTTCCAAAACAAATTAAAGTTTTCCTTGGCAACCAACAAATGCTGAACATCCCCAACCGCCCTTTCGTCAATGCAAGCCTCGAATTCGTTTGGTCACCGAGTTTGGCATCGTTTATAGTCAAAGACCAGTTGGGTTATACAAAATTAAAAAGAGCTGTTCATAACTGATGCAAACGCCTAACTCTCCAAAATACTGATGATATTCCAAAGCGGTTGGCGTTTAAAGAAATAGGGATCTGAACCGGACTTAAAATTCTATCGCACATTACATAATACTGAACCTGGAAGCAACCAAGCTTTAAGAATGCATGGTTCGTTGTTGCAATTGAACTCCTCATAATTCACCTCGTGAGAAATTTTCTTTGCACTTGGGTATCGACCTTTCCATTACAGCAGGTATAGAATGACGGTGAATGAATACGCGAATGAAAGAACACGGTGCCGGCTCTAAGTTGTTAAAGGCCAAAGAAATAGAATTCGAGGGGGCTCAAGTTCGCAAGGAAGGAGTCAAATCTTGGAAGCTAGGACATGTGTAATTTGATAATCGTGCGTGGCTTTGGAGCAAGACAGTCAGAAAGAAATTTGAGGAAGTTGTGAAAAGTTAAGCCATAGCATGCATTACAATAAATTCAAATCACGCTGAATGCTTATTCCTTTCGTGTGGGTATTCAATTGGGTATTGTCAACGAGTTTCGGAACATTTTTTAGAGATCCTTTGTTAAGGGAGCATTTGCAGGTTCGAGAGTGCACGTGTGATGATGATAATATTAAAATATCAATATGACACTATAGAGACCAACATTTTACCTCTACTACCTATGGGAATGGTGAGACAAACTTAGACAGGTATTTCCTCTGTGCAGTAATAGACAAAGATCTAGTACTACATAAGCCTATCACCTCACACAGCTTTATCAGTGTCAGTGTGAATAATAAAACATCTGCATTGTAAAAACAGCACTAGGTGATAATCACCAAGTGAATCAAAAGGGTGTTCTAACCCTCTTCACTTACCTGAAGCAAAGCTTGTAATTATAAGAAGCAGTAACACAGATTTCATCTTATTCCTATTGCTGGCTCGTCCTTGAACTATTTTTGTACTAGCAGTTCATGTGCACTTCACGGCAGACAATGTCGAAATGATAATTTACGCTTCGTTTGAAGTTTTCTTGATGATAAACACGTGGTCTCGCTTTGTAATGGACCACGCGTCATATTTGAAACGACGCCTGGTATCATATAATCGTCTCAAACATTGTTCAAACGATCGACACGATGCAGACTACTGACTCTGGCGATTTGGGACGAATAAGATCATACGGACAGAACGTGGCTTGAGGAAAGGGAAATAAAATAAGAAAAAATGAGAACGTAGCTTGGTCTCCATGTTAACCGTTTAGTTTTGGGATAGTCAGATAACTAGACCCTCGACGTAAGGATGCATTCACGAGTTTCTGTCGCCGCTAATCGTCTTATTAGTGTGGTCGTAAAACAATTATATATTTGTGATCCAGGTTGGGAGAAAACTTCTTACGTTTCCTGAATGAAAATGCTATGTTGACATCTATCGTGGACACATCTAAATTGTAGACACGAACTGAAGGCAGTCACCCTTGTACAAAGACTGTTTTCGAACACTTAAAGGACAGGAACCTCTCTGACACAGACAGTTCCCTAGAATATAACTTGTTTTTAATATACACGCCCATGAAATGGAATCTGAGCAGAACTGTTCTTTAATAGGCACTTTTCCTTTCTCTCTTTTAATGAAGAGACAATACAGTGATAAAAGTTTGTATAAGTATGTACATAGTCCCCTCGATTAACTATGGTATGTATAAGCGCAATCCAGTATTTCTAATCAAGTTAATTCAAAACCTTCCCAGATTTACAAAGAATGACCCTTCTTATTCATTTTTTTACTACATCAGTTCTTTAAGTCTTGTAGGTGTTCATGATATACAGTGCAGCGTTTTGCCATTTTCTGCTGAATTTAAAATTCCTTTACCTACAGGTCACTTAAAACAGTGATGCGGTAACACGGTGACGAGCTCTCTTGTTTGTTATTCGTTTCTGAAAGGATATAAGAGATCGAAATCCTACACGAAATTAAATTTAAAAACAAAAACGAAGGATTGCGAAAAACTGGTCGACTGAGCAACCAGTCGTTCCCTCCCTTCGTTGCACAATATTCCTTTCCTTATCTTTCGTTGGAGCCAATCACCACCAAAATTACGCAGTGAAATTGATGTTAATTGGGAGATCATTACGTGATTCAATCTCCTGGATTTACTTGAATGATCTCAACGCGAAAAATCAGATCTCGGAACAGGAAAGAAATAATGTGATCAACGAGGACTGCGTGGAAAGCTACTATACACCAGGACTCGTATAGCCTGCAGAGCAGGCGTTCTTGTGGACTTTGGGCGAAAATTAGGACTTTGGGCTTTCTGTTTTATTTTCCAGACCGCGCGTAAAATGGAGCGAGGCGAACAATTAGAAGGTGGGGGGAGGGGGACAGGAGAGAAGGGAACGCCTGCCAGCAGCACTTGAAAATTTGAAAAACGCCCCCTAAATAGATATGCACGAGTAACGATAATGCGCAAACAATTGGTCAATCAGGTGGCGCGACGGAAGTGGATTTTCACTTCCGTTGCTTGTCAAAATTTGTTGTTATTCGAAGGGAAATCACATGTGTCAAAATTTGTGTTCACATGTCGCCGAACGAGAATTGTCGATTTTGCGGCTGTAGTTTTAAAGTTAAATACGGCTCATACCTGTCATCAGAAAATTTATTCAGAGCATCGAAGAGAAGTGATGCTTATGGAGTAATTTTATCAGACGTGTGTGCTGGAATTGGCATCGAACTCATTCAAAACAACGAACAGTTATNAAAGTCCTAATTTTCGCCCAAACTCCACAAGAACGCCTGCTCTGCAGGCTATGACTCGTACGGTATCCGGACAATTCGCCACCACAACAAACTCGCCAGCACAAAACTCGCCAGCACAAAATTCGCCACCACTCGAAGCGAAATCGCCACTAGTGGCGATTTGACTTAAACGTTATGTGTAGCCTCTCGCGTGAAATTCACATCAAATGAAAGCTAAGAAGTAGTAGTATATTGCGGAAAGGTTAAGGGACTCAGAAGTTAGATGTAACGTGTCAATTTTCATAGAAATTTTTAGTTTTTTTCGGCCATTTAAACTTTACAGACGACGCGCCTTCTTCGCTCATGGTCGAACGTCAACTGAACAACAGCATAACAATTCATCATGCATATAAACGTATTATTTCCGTGAGAGACAAAATGTGCTGCTGCAATCATTGTTTGATTAAAAGAAAAAAAAGTCACTGCGTAAAACTCGGGCTTCGTGCTTCATCAAACACCATCTGTTTTTCGGTGACTGAAACTCGCGATGAAGCGCTCGTGTTTGGTATAGTGCCTCAATAGGCCTTTTGCAGTTAGAGATCACGTGCTTAGATACCGCATAGCAACGCCATACTGGAGAGCAAGCACTCCAGTGATCTCAGACAAAATAGAGATCACAGAGGTCTGCATTCAAACAAAGAATACAGCGGATAACAAGTTAAAGGGTACCCCAATTCGAGAAATCTTGTAAGTTTTAATCAACAGCTTCCTTGGAGTGTATCAGCGAAAAATGAATTTTGGTGTGATTTTGCTGCTGATACACTCCGGGGAAACTGTTGATTACTTCTTACTGGATTTCTCGTATTGGGATACCTTTTGACCTGTTATCCGCTGTATTCTTTGTTTAAATGCAGACCTCTGTGACCTCTATATTGTCTGAGATCACTGGAGTGCTTGCTCTCCAGCATGGCGTTGCTATGCGGTATCTAAGCACGTGATCTCTAGCTGCAAAAGGCCTATTCTCGATTTCTGAGCTCTGCAGGATACAGTTTTTAATAATCCAGGGAAAGAACCTTTTAACCAAAATACTTCGTTCTGAAAACTATATTGATCGAATGATTTAACGAATGCAGCCGTCAGAGGGAACATCGCTAACATGCTACTTATTATTTTAATCAATTCTAAGTTTGATCCGTTTGACCTTCAGGGACTCCTAGAGGACTCCAAGTCGCTTTCTGCCGAATTTTGCCACGTTTGCACGCACTCTTAATTTCGCATCATAAAAACTAAAAGATAAATAAACTTTAAGATCTAACCTTTCGTATGACATAAGTTTCATTAAATTTTATTGCGAAACGTGTTCATAAGAACGAAACTTGTGTTAAAGCTTACGTAGACGTTCTTTGTGCTTGAAACGAAGGGTTTACCAAACAAAGAAAGGACGCCAAAGTCTTTTGAAGCAAACTTCGCTGTATTCGTACGCGATTCTAATTTCGCAATATGCTTCGACCCCTTAGCATTTATATGATGTAAGTTTCATACAATATCATTCATATCGGCGGAAATCACTTACCGAAAATTACTCGGCGAATATCACTCTGGTTTCGCACTTCGCAAACTGTTCACAATCTTCGTGATATCAACATGTTTTATTTCGTTTTACGTTCCCTTATTGAGACAATACACCTAACTTCTGAGTCCCTTTTCCTTTTCACAATATACTACTACACCTAAGCTTTCATTTGATGTAAGTTTCACAAGAAAGGTTACACATAACGTTTAAGTCAAATCGCCAGTGGCGATTTCACTTTGAGTGGTGGCGAGTTTTGTGGTGGCGAATTGACCGTAAACCGACTTGCACATGTAGTTTAAATAGCAGCAGAGGACGACAGTGCTATCAAGTAAAAGGCACTTTTTACGAGCCAAAATTCAAAACAGGAAAAGCAAGAAAACATGAAAACGCTTCCGAACCGTAAAAATTATTATGACAAGTTATTATCCATTGGTTTTCGTACCACGATTAACAGGTCGCTGGCACATTTGATGAGCCATGGGTGAGCCGTATCCTTCACCTAACAAAAACAATGCAATCACAAAAACAAAAAACTTTGTTTTGCTGTTGTTAGAGAAGATGGACACTGAAAAGTGAACTTCCCACGGACCCATCCCACGTAGTAAATGGTGAGCTGTTCGTAATCACTCTGACCCGCGCGTTGCAACAAAAGACGCTCGTATATTTTTCCTTGGACATTATCTGTTCCGCAGAGTGAACAGCTTCCGGAAAGCAAAGCTCGTGGACAATTATTCGCTCCTCGAAATAGATAATGTCCAAGGACATTATTTCCTCGTCCATTGTTTATATAGAAGATGTGAGCAGGCACAGTGACCCTCATTTTGAGGAGCTTTCCGATCGATTTTTGTTATGGATGTATAGAGATACAGACAGATCTCCTTTAGACAATTGATCTAGTCCGGAGAGTGGCAAGATAGTTTAGTGGAAATACTAAAAAATACAGATTAGAAACATTTTCATGATTGGCAAATATTCTTAAATGATTTAAAATATCTTTAGTCATTGTTTAACTCTCAGATTAAGAGATGTGAACATTTGTAGGATTGGTCTGGCCCTGGTGTGGTCTCGAGGGGATGGCATGAAGGAGACATGTTCCATTTTCGCGAGATGTACACGGAACCCAACGTTTAAATTAAGCGTAAAGCCGCGATTTACTTCATCTTGCTATTTTGATTACTTCATAAGTTTACCTGAATTATCTCCTCTAGCATATCCACCAGAGGTTCGTTGACACCGTTAATTACTGATAGGCTGCAATCACTCCTCAGACTATTGTCCACAGCAAACCAAAGCACTTCAGCCATGCACATCATACGAAATCGTACTACAAAAGGTTTGGGATTAGAGAGCGAGCCAAATTCCTTTATACCTAGGGTAAAGAAATTAATACTTGATGAAACAGATGTCCTTTATAAGATAAACATGCTCTAGAAACAATAAATTTGAAGTCTCCGCTAACAAAAAGTTTTGCATTCATCACTTACTGCAATGTCACAATCCAAACAACGACCGTTCAAAACTTTGATTATGGACGCCCCCATTTGAAAAAGTAATTTAGTAACTTGGCTACACGAGCAAAAACCCCAAAGCTTGATTCCCTAACAACTGTAGCTCATATTTTTTCTTTAGCCTTATGGTGTAGCTCCTTAAAGTTCGGACAGATCGCTAAGAGACCGGCTAAAGGAAAATAGCTAGGCTATGCCAAGCAAGATTCACATGGGCGCCCTTTGTTTCCTAGTTTTTAACATATTTAAAGACAATTTTCGGAAAGCTAGGTTCTTTCTTGGGATCTCTAAACGTAGCCAGTGTTATAATCTCATATGCACTTTTTGATTCCGGAGTAAAAATCAAATAGTTCCTGAAGCATACTCAGTCTCCGTTGACCAATGAAGTAATGTGGTTTAATATCGGTCGAATTTCGACGAATCCACGACTAACTTCGACTAGCAAATTTGAACTTGGTAAAAAAATAAAGAAATACGTTTTTCACCTGGTTGCGACCGGAAGACAAAGAAAAAAGACCACCACCTTTCTTCACATGCCATTATTTCATAAAAAGGTCTCTGCAGGACACGTGTCACAATAAACTCGCTTATGGTAAAGAATTAGCTTAACTTATACCCCATTCACACCAGCAAAACTTGTTTAGCTAAACCGGGTTTAAATCAATGACAATCTGAAACAGAGGACTGTAAAACTGGATGATTTTCGAACAAACATCGGTTTAACCTAAAGCAAAGAAGAAAGTCAAAAAAGGTCCAATAAAGAGGCCTCCTACAAAAAATACAACAAAATCATTTTATTACTACGCGAAAGATAAGAAGTAATAGACGTTCGAGAAAGACCTCAATGAAATTACATGAAAATTAATGTCTTTGACCTGATTGTAAAAGTGGGAAGTAAATGTGTTGACAAACCTGACTGTTTCAGTTCCTGAAGGTCTTTAGTGAGTTGGTCACACCTCGCAATAAACCAGTTGTGAAAATATTCACGTAACTCGACTTCACCTGAGCCAATCAACTGATTTAGTATACGCTGCAAAAAGATAACCAGGAAATGACCAACAAAGTCCTTGCTATTCGTGCTTGTTAACTGTTATTGTTAGTGCTTGGAGATCTGCCAACTCTTCAATCCGGAATAATAGACACTCGTTCACATTTTTTCAAGTGTCAATACTCGGAGAGAACACGGAGAAACACCAATCACAAGTTGTGTATTATTTAGTTAGGGGAATACTTAGAAGCTGTGAGCAGGAGTTACACCTAAAAAAATGAATGGAGAGAGGTTTAAACTCGAAAGACTATCTAAACGTAATCACACACGGCCCGCAATCGAACAAACACAGAAGTACAATAGAAACAAGTGTGAGCCGGATTTATAACGGAAAGAAAAGATTTAAACGACATCTTTTGGAAGATCTACATAATTATTGTCTTTACCTTGAAGTAGTTGACGACCATTGTCATCAAAATCACCGGCTCTACGTATAGATTAGCGTCCTCCTGCTCAAACAGCATTAGTCTACAGGTAATGATCAAAAACACATTTTTCACAGATATACACAGTAACTTGAAATTATAGTTTTTAGGGATTCTCTCGGTAACATCAGTTTTTTTGCTAAAGACGCGCATATATATATATATATATAGTCAAACTAATTTCCTTTAATCCCTTCATAAGCTGGTGCACAACGATTTATGCTGGCTTCATAGTAAAACGGAGTTCAGTTAAAGTTACCAAACATTTTTACATTTCCGAGAGTTGTACGTTTTGCCATAAACCATGATACAATCCGCCTATTTCTGCTAATATAGAACCAACTCACCCCCTTCTAAAAATGATTAAAGAGTTTTTACAGCCGAAAGGGACAGTTTTTACGGGCACGACATGGACTCTAAACTAAAGTATTCATTTGTTTTATTTTTGCCTTCCACATTCGATTTTCCATTCGATTTCATCACAGTATGAAGATGATGTAGTCGTATGTCTCACTTGTGAAATTAGGCCACACAAGGACTTTTTGGTCCTTTTTTTCCTGCACTTTGATTAGTCACTTTAAACAAGCCTTGAAATCTGACTGGTTGTTTAAGTTAGTTTTCCTTTCTCGTTGGCTGGGGAAAAGATGCGATTTAGAGCAAAAATAGCGCCATTCGTGAATAAATCGCACCGCTCAGAGCCATACAGATTGTAATGGTCAACAGTGATTTCAAAATGAATGTAACAAACATTGAAAACGTTCAGGTCATCTTACCTCGCTCCCAAGTAACCTTTCAATACATCTGCAGTGGACTTCAATCCCCTAATCATGGTTTCCATGCTTTCCCAACATCCGGGAACAGACCAAAAATGTTCCACCATGAGCTGAAAAACACGTTTCACAGCCGCTGTGCATGTTAAGCTCTTCGTGGGCTCAGTAATCATGGCAACAAACTCAGCTGCTTCGAATCTTATTTCCTCCTCTTCGTCTTGTAGCAAACAAAGAGTTGAACTAAGAACACTGAAAGGCAAAAATATTCAATTTCCTTCATGTTTTAAGATAAAACAACACAACATTAAAATGAAAAACAAGAAACTGAAAAGTATTCCCCTGTAAATAATTTCTATTTCTGATTGAAATCTAAATACGTCTTGGTTAATTGCTTTAAGATCGTTGTAAATAGTTTTGGTCACATTACTAATGAACTATTTTAAAGAGTTTTTTACTTTATTCAAAACACGTCAAAATCAGCCTCACTGTAATTATTACTCGTGTATAAAGATATGCCACTATCATAAATCATTCTACAGCGCTGCCGTTCGTTTAAAGATCTTAACTCAAATCTACCATCATAACTCATCCAGAAAAAAAACAATGGCGTACAATGCAATTCGGTTCTGAAAATTTTCTTTATGATATATATCGTCACACATGTAATGCTTAGGCGCTTTTAATGAAAAATGGAAAAAAAGTCCTGAACGAGGGCCGTACGCGATGGCGCGAATGCGGCCGTAAAAGCCACACGGTCTTACGGACGGCCCACGAAATGTAAAATGCAAGAAGAAAGGACGAAAGACAAGGGGCGGTAGTTTTAATACAAAATGCTTCTTGACAGAGTAAGGTTACGCCAGGCATGAAATATTTGGCTCCAGGTCATCACGTACGGCCGGAGCGCAGCGAGACCTCGAACCTGATCCCTCCCATTCAGCCCTTCAGCCCAGTGATCAAACTCCTTGCCTACCTTATTGCCGTCTCCACCAAGTACGAATACTTGGGCAGGCCAGTTTCTCCTGTACTTGTCAGCACGGAGCTCAATATAGCAACACCACATAGCTTCAGAGACTGGACTGTGCCCTGTCTTAATAGTTCATCTTGCTCCCAGTCGCAGTTTGTTTGAATCAACTCACGCCACTGATTTAACATTTCTTGCAACTCCAGTGGAATGGTTGGTAAGACACTCATGTTAATGGAATGCCTAAGAATCAGACCGCATGCAGGAATTGCTTTACCAGCCACAGTTACCCCTCTTAACTTTTTAGCTAATGAAGTCAGCTTATTCCAGAGTTCCCTTACGTTAGCGTTGGTCGGAAAGCACACATCTGAGTGGGCACAACCTTTCACAAAGAGATCCAGAGCCGACAACAGACAGCAATGGTCCGTTTCGTGGATCACACAGGTCACAAGATCGGTAAGGACTGAGCCTGGCATTTGTTGTGATTCGTTGAATAAATACTCCAAAGCAGCAAATCTCCGTTCCTTGTTGGTGGACAACATGAGCTGGGATAACTGACTTTCTTGTTCTTTGAGATAACGATAAAAGATAACAACATGGCGTTTATATCACTCATCCCATTGAAACATGGATGGTGTATGAGATCACTCAGACATTTTATCCCAGACTTCTTTCTGACGACATCATCATTGAGGTGTTACTCTGAAATAAATCGTATCTGCCATACTTTCCCAAAAATTCATGACCAAACATTCGGCTACAATATTCAAATAAAACTATGTTGGTACAAGTGCACCATCCTATGAGTGAGTTGACATGCACGAAAAACTATGGAAATACGAAAAATATGTGCCAGCACAGCACTCCTACTAACTGAATCGTTCTCGGTGTTAAGGCCAACGATACATAAATTTCATCTTCTTACCTTTTGACCGAGGGTGATAAAACTCAAAATGGATACACGCCCTGACTACTTCACGTTGCCACTGTGCTTCACAAAGCAACGAATGAACAGCTTCAGCGGCAGGTACTCTTAAACTATCCAAAACCACTGATTTAAGTATATTAACATCTGCAAAAAGATAAAAAGGCATGTTGGGCTTGCATGAAAATTATCAGTGTGTAATCAAAACAACACGTGTACATAGCATACAAAAGCATACATTTACCTCGTTCACATTCTTTCAGGAAGTAAAAAAAATACTTCATTAGAGTATTGAGGAAGGCAGCTCGCGTTAGGGGACAATGATTCCTCAAGGAACATATCCACGACTTTTTCAACATTTCCTTTACAAGACCGCTTGCCTTTTCTTCAATCGCAGAGTACGGAACAATTTCAAGAATTGCGTCAATTTGGAGTAAGATCCCATGAAGAACATTCTGCGAAAAGCCCTTCGTTGGCTCTGGACTTGGAAGAAGCTTGACCAGTTCCTCCACCCTTTCCAACAGGTTTTCGCGAGGAATAAACGGCACAAGAGCTTTGGCTGCAATAACACGTTCTGTGTGTGATGGACTTGAAGTCAACAACATCAGGTGAGGAACAAACTCCGACAAAAGGCTTACTGAACTAAAAACCAGAAAAAAAAAGAAATCGATACAAAGCCTTATTAAATGAGAAGCAAATTGGTGAAGCACGCCTAGCCAGTTTCGTCTTTATATGACAAGTTAAATGCTACCTCATTTAGAACTAAACAACCTTTGTGAGATGAGTGTAGTAAGAACTTGGAAAAGGAAACAGAGCAACGACCCAATTAGAACTTGAAATAGAACAAGCAAAACTATCTGATGCGCAGGAAAACGCTAATGACCAAGTTGCGATTGATTTCGGCTGTGCATCAAATCTGTTGGCAGGGTGCCGCTAATTTTTTGAGTAATCATAGTCGAAGTAGAGTAAACCCAATTTAATCCCAGATTACTTTCCACATTCAATTAAAATTTTCTCTACAAAGAAGATTGATAAAGCAAAATCATAAAATTACGCCTGCTTTGCAAGCTAATCCACAAGTAATATTTTGATTCAGTGACTACGTATGCACTCCACTAGACCAGTTTCTTAGGGTTCTCCACTAACTTTACTGAAAAGCTGCAAATCAGCCGACTTCTTTGGGTTTTGAATTTTTCCGACCACCTTTTGCCACATACGTTTGAAAGTCTTTGATATAAATTAAAGAAATTTAATACTTCAATGTCTTCAGTGACATTCCAATTTCAGAACATGAAGTCACAATGAAAACTAGACGATAGTCTAACCTTTCGTCGAATTTAGAGTATGAATGAAGCTTTGACAGAAGTGTCAAAATGGGAAACAGTTCTGGTTTGGATATTTTAAAAAACTGTTTGGCGGAACTGTCAGCTGACTGTGACGTATTTTGCAAATGAGCAATGAAGAACTTGCGTAGAGCAGGGAAGCTGTTGAAGAAGTCCGACGAGCTTATCGTGTTCATTTCAGTTTCGTCATCCCCACTTCGCCGCTGACCAAGCATTCGCTTTACTAAGGAACCTAGAGTGGTGGCAAAATAGAATGTATAAATAGACGGCAACCATCGCTAGGGCGGTCTGGGCCGGGTTCTTTTAATTTAACCTAAATTTTTGCTTCAGCTGTTTGAAGGAAGAACAGGATTAGGGTTTGAGAAAAAATATTTTGCGGATGAACAATGAGATTGTTCGATTAAAATTTAAAAGAGGCTCACTGCCTTTTCAAACGCTCTCTCGTCTGACTACGGAAAGTTTCCGTAATGTCCTGATGGAAAAGTTCTTTTGATGGAACGGGCAGCAGAAAGGTAAACATTGGACACATGTATGCGAGCTTCATCTACAAGGAGGGAGATAACAGGTTAGCAAAACATCATACCTAAGTCAATTTTGTATGAACAGAGATGAACAAGCGTTTCATGTAAGGGAAAACGCTTACGAAGAATGTAAGATTAAAAAAGAAACACATTTCCAGAATGAGTTAGAATGAACTCAACTTGCTCACATGTGAGATTTAAGATTTAAAAACTCTCGGAAAATTATTTTTCAAGACCACTTCGCACTTCAACCTTATTCATCTCAAGAGAAGTAAAGCGGATTAGGAAGCTTTTTCATCTCAATTAAATGAGATAAATCATGTTTTTGAAATACGGAGTAGATACAAAAATTGCAGTGATACTCGTAGGGATTCAAACTTGTGCCCCCTAGATACTACAGTCGAAACTGTGCACCACATTAAGTGGTCACCTTGTATTGAGTAGTCCCAAAATTCTTTACCCTTAAACAATGTAATTTTCACCCTTTAATTAGTCCGAACGGCCTGTTTGTATTGTCTTCGACATTTATTGAACGGTCACTTAAAGGGAACCATTAAAATAAAACTAAGAACAAGCTTTCAAGCATATATTTTGTTCGTCTCCCGTAATCAATGCTAGTAGTATTCTTAAGCGTGTGTTTGTATATTTGGTGGTCAACTATGGCACAAAATGGCGTTTTTCATAGCCTTTTTTAATACCTTTTTACTGTGGAGCCTTTATTAAGCGGCCAACCTGTATTTAGCGCCATTCCCCGCGGGTGACCACTAAAAACAGGTTCGACTGTAGTTGGGCGCTACTACCAAATGCATGCACTTTTGTGAAATGCTTAACTATAGAGGTTTCTCACCAAACAGTTGCATGGAAGCATTCCTAACCGCCCATGATGAAGATGCGAATCCCCCTATGGCCATTATGGTTCCCTGCGAGGCGTACTGCAGCACTTCACAACCAAGGGACGTATCTTGGTAAAGTAGCTTCAAAATGTTGATTGCGTGTACCTACAATCATCGAATGCAGAATAAGAGTGTTAAGAAAGTAACACTGGTTCAATTTGATGCTCACTAAAAGAACATTTGAAGGATGAGAGGTAACAGGAGGTCTGGACGCGAGACAAAACTTACAACTAAGATTTGTAGTCATAACATAATTATAATGATGATAATAACCACGGTAACGACAATGATAACAATAATAATAATAACAAAGATAAAAATGATCGTACAAATAACAGGAATAATATCATAACGATAATGATGATAATAAAAATAACGTAGTAGTGATAACAACACCAACACAAATGGAAATGATGATGATGACTCTGCAAAAGGTATAAACGTTAACCTGAATGCCACAGCAGAGACAGTAGAGTATTCCAAGTATGCAATTTTATTTGTGGGGCTAGGCTGACGATGAAATTTTTTTTAGAACATTAATCAATATTAGTGTTGTTACTGAAATATACACAATGTGTTGTCATTAATTTTTCTGGTTCTTTGAATTAAAAACAAACTCCCCCCTGAATACCTGTGACAGGTCGAGGTGTTGGTCTGTTACAGCAGGAATAGGTAATGATGCAATGTCCAGTAGAGACTTCATGGACTGCTTCAACAGCAGTCTTTGGCCTGAGTTTGGTTCACATGCCAAAATACTGGAAAATAGCACCGGTAGCCCCGCACTGAAAGATCAATTCGATTTTTTGTTTTGTAATCAATAAAAAAGTGAAGTTTTCTCAAAGCAAAAACAGTACCAAGGACGCCGCCAACACAGGCGCTAGCATAAGCAGAACAAACATTTTCTGCTCGTGCTTTTGTCAAGTAAGATCGCGCTGCTGTAAACACATGCATAAAATAAGGATGCATTATCGAACTGTGCATGTGCACGTGCTTACGCTTGTGTGTGCACGTGCTTACGCTTGTGTGTGCACCTCCTCCACTCTACCAATATACTTATGCTTGTGCTAACGTCGTGGCCCAAACCAAGCGTTTTTTGATAGGTGGGTTCGTTGCAAATCCGTGGCCGACAGGTTTCGGTTACCTGCGTCTGGTGATAGAGGTTTGAGAGCTTGATAACGACACTGTCTTCAACATGTCATCTAACCATTCCTTTGGTACAGAGTGAAGACATGGTAGTGATGACTGGAATAAACACCGGTAAATCTTTAAAAAACTGCTCCTGCAATGCTGAACAACACCCTATAAAGAAAATTTCATTTTATCTAATGAACAGTTGGCAGAACAAAACGATAAGCGATCTTTCGTGGAAAAATCAAGTAATAAGACGACTGTGCGAGAACGGCGCAGATAGTTATCAAATTCGTGTAACACGTTCCGCTCATTGTTTGCTACCATTTTGTTATTGTTGAATTCTGAAAAACATAAGCCAATTAAAATCAGAGCAAGCAGCAAACTTAACACTTGTAAGCGTCACTGATTATGGCTAGGTTACATGTGAACTGCCTCCTCTGGGCACAAGGAAAAACTGTCATCAAAATACTGCGGGTGTGAACTGGTCATTGAATTTCACTGAATACAATAGAGATGGAGCCAGCAACACCACAACAGTTCTGTAAAGAAACGTTTTTGGCTCTGCAAGTGCGAAGTTTGAACAGCGATCTGCTTGCGTTAGCGACAAAAAAAGTGAATAACAGATGACAATGGGTTATATGCAAAACCGAGAGAGGACTTAGGGCTGGCGTAAGGGTAGTAAAACACACCTGGTGCCTACACTGCATGATAACTTTCCAAGTTGTCTCGGCCACATTTCTTAAAGTTTCTTCACGAAGTAGCTGAATGGCTGGTAAATGCTTGAGTTGGGTGATGGTCTTTTCAAATATGACCGCTAGCAAATGACATGCACACTGTTGAAACAAAAGAAACTAGTATGAAAGTGCTGTTCCCGGCAGAAGTTCAGTAATTCTTCAAAGATGCCTTATTAATTACTGGTCTACATAACATTAAATATCTTTCCATAAAGTGAACATGGGAAAGTCTTGAACACCATTAAAGCGCTTGTGAAACACAAAAGAATGGCACTAGTGAGTGAAGTACCTTAATATTAAGCCAGCAGCATGAAATGACCATATCTTTGTGGATGTCAACGGAATACATTTTTTCACTTCCCTCGTCATCGTCAGTCATTGACAAAGACACTATTTCATCCAGGGCCTCACCGATATCTGCAAACGATGCTCCACCAACTGACGGATGAAAACAAATATTTCTAGTGGTGAAAAGTCCAATAACCAAACGAATGGCAAAGATGGTGCACGAGAAATAAAGGTTAAGGCGAGAGCATCCCACCCGCCCCTGGCTTGCTAAAAAAGAGGAAAATCTCAACAGGGAGTGAAAAGTGGTGCCAGTCGCTTGTCCAGCATTTATACTCGAACTGAACATCGATGATGGCATATGGATCCCACCGCATACACCTAGTTACGTGATGTTAGGTGCAGTACAAGAATGCGCAGCGCAACAGGGAGTGAAAAGTGGTGCCAGTCGCTTGTCCAGCATTTATACTCGAACTGAACATCGATGATGGCATATGGATCCCACCGCATACACCTAGTTACGTGATGTTAGGTGCAGTACAAGAATGCGCAGCGCAACGTGAGAAATCATCTAAGTCATAACAGGAGAAAATGATAGGAGGTTATTTTCTCCTGGTCATAAACAACGGGACCGACAAATCTATCTACGAATTCATCGTATAAATCTTCTTCGACGATTTACCGTCGATACCTTACGAGTGACGCATTCTTTTCCTGAACCCCAAAAGGGCAAAGAAAGAATCGAGCAATGGGCAAAATATGTACTGCATGTAAATGTTAGGCCCTCAAATAAGGTATTTATCGTTTCAATAAAACGGAATTTGCTTTTATCGTTTTTCTTTTCCTATCAAGTTATCCTGCAATATCTCTCCATCGGTAATTGACGCGTTCGAGTGGCATTCAACAATGCCCAATATATTTGGATAAAATGAAAAGAATTAAATGATGAGTGATAAGCAAGATAAAAATTAGTTTCCGAGCTGCTCCGTTTTTTCAGCCCGTCCGTATCATCTCTTTGGTAAACTGGTCTCTCTTTTTTAAATTATAATCATAAACTTCTGGTAAAAGATCAACCTTAAAAAATACCATATAGGGATTTTAGGAATTTTCCTGATACCCTCACAATATGCCTCTACTGTAGAAAGAAATAATGTCTCTGAAATCCACAGGACTAACAAGATTTAAATTGCAACTAAAAATGCTCTACAAAGGTGCCGTACTTGTAGCAGTATTATGGCTTCCAGACAACACGTCCAACATGAAGATTATGATGTTATTAGCAATATCGACAATAAGTTGTATGACCATCTGTAGCTCAATCTGATTCTCTTCACTGATAACATCTAAGCTTAATTCTTGAATGCAATGTGCCATGGCCAGAGAAATGCCTGCAACAATAACAACATTTTCGCAAATATACCGCTTGGTATAACAATTACAGTAATCTTGTCAAAGATTAAAGTACTTGTAAACTTTCTAACGGAAACCTTATTTTTTTTAATCTTATTCCCACACTCGTGAAGCGAGGGAAAAAACTATTTGAATCCCATTCTCAAACTCAGAACTTAGTACCTTTCTTATTCTTCTGTTCTAGCTCACCACAGAGTTTTTATAGCTTTGTGTTAGAGTATCACAGCACGATATTAATATTTTTGAGCTTCGATTTCTCATGGATACTCATAGTTTTTTGTTCTGTATCCCACGCTTAAGATAAGACGAAAAATTTTTTTCTTAAAAAAAGTGTTGCCACGAATGATAATCACTTCGGTTATCACCACAGTGCTTTGTAATGCACTCCTTAGAAAAATAAACCCACCATGGCCTGGCTCATTTTTTGAGGCAAGTTTCAGATCCTTTTGCGCAGCTTCAAAATGCACTTTGAGTTCACCCAACACTTCATGTAACATGTGGATGGTCGTCTGACCGCTGGGTAACTTGTCCAACGTAGGGGGTTTTATTTCTTGTGTTGACAGACGGAATTCCCATCCTAGCATTGAAACATACCTGGGAGAAAAATAAGTGTGGTATTTTACACTGATAGATACCATGCAGATAGAAAGTGTGCGCATTTAGATTGGCTAACTTGAAGTTGATTGATTGTTTAGGACGATCTGTTGCGATTATTTGAGGCATTTATCGAACTGTCCAAATTTGAAGAGGTTTAAGTGTCTACGAGTCACTGAACTTGGTTAATGAAACAAGGAGGGGTAAAATGGCGAAACCACAGGATTGACTTCTTATTTTGAAATTTTTGACTACGGAACGTCACGATTTATCTAAACGATCTAATCCAGGAAGCCACATCATCTGTATGAATTACATCCTGTAAACTCGGCATAATAGATAGCACTTCTCCTCTCTAGCGAGAGATCCTTCGATTCATCCCTAGAGGTGGAAATTTTGTTGCTGTTTTTTATTGTTATCTTTTTTTATTACCCTTTTATTAGTTACCTTCTCCTTTGATACCATATGTTTTTCCTGTGTAATCAACTTTTAAGAAGTCAAAAACCGAAACGCAGCGTTTGTTTTTCCTTTCCTGTTTTGAAAAAAAAGGTCTTTAGCCCTCCATTCCGAGTATTCAATTTGGAATCAAAAACGTGTATGTACGAGACATATAAAAGCTGAAATGTAACACGGCCTTTCACCCTCGAACACTGCTGTACATGGATCCGACCATATCATTTGTGCATCATGTTTGCAAACCCCCTGATGCACGTAGTTATAATTTCAGCCCACTTTAAACCCAACAGTATAATTTGCTTATTTCAGATCTCAGCTGTCAGTTGAATACGCATTATTTCTCAGCAGACCTTTAAAAAATTTACCACTTCTCACCTACATGAATCAGTTGTGCCTCACGCGGAAACAGAACACGCATTAGTCAGCGGACTGACCAAAGAGTCAACAGGTATGGAAGGAGTGAATTTTGGATGATAGCAACATCTCGGCAAGGGCTTTTGAGCCATTTCCCAGCTTAAAAATTAGAGCGGATTTATTTCGCTGCAAGTTTTGCTTTTCAATCACACGAATTCGTAGAGTCATGGACGCAAACAAATGTCGATAACATTGTGTCATAGAGATCTTATGTATTTTCTTTCTCAAAATACTGAAATGGTGATAAAATTTGTTCAATGAATGATGCTAAAGGTGGCATTCTCTTACATCAATGCTCAGTACCACTCAAATCATAGAGAAAGGGTAAATTGTTCATGTCGAGTTCTTTTCTCTTCCGTAAAACGTTACAGTAAGCAATTTCTTGTTACCAAGTGACGAAAGTGTACCTCTGCATTATTCTCATAACATATAATGTTCATCCCATAATTGTTAATCATCAGAATTACGAGGGGAAGATATAATGTGCTGTTGTTACTCCCAAACGAGAATTTCAAAATTTCAGTTCCTGTAGGTTTAAAGCCAAGAAGTAACGTTTGTTTTAACCGCAGTGCAAGTTCGTTTTTATTTCGTTCGGAAGAACGACCTCTTGTTCCTGGACAGCTTAACATTGAAGGGCATCTACAGGATTAAGAAATGCTCCCGAGGGCAACCGTTATAACGTAAACACTATTACGACATACCTGCTATGGATTAACTGGAAGAGAACAGCTCCTTTTTCACAGTCCTGAACTTTTGGGCTTTTGGCGAGTGTCACAGCCTTTTGTACCAGCATACGCGCTGATGATACACCGGTGGAATCATTCTCTAGAATCTTTAGTGGCCATGAAAAGTGTTCTTGGAGAATAATCACAGCTGCATCACGAATCTATAATCAAAGATCGTTTACAGCGTAAAATCTGCAATTTCTTAAAATCTACAAAGAACATCGTGCAAAGTTAACTAGTAAATCGGCAACTTCACCACGTACATCAGTATAAGAGCTTTCCACACATCCCAACAATATCACTGCACTCCTGGGGAAAAATGTGCACAAAATCATGTTCACAAAGGTAACTAACATCACACAGATAAAAATGTTGTGCCGCGTAGCACTTTGAACACAAATGGTGGAACAGATAATTAACTCTGAAGCGTAAATTAAAGTGCTAAGTGAAACCCATAAAAACCCACTGGGCGTTAACCCTCGTAAAGGGTATTAGGGAACCACAAGAGGTAAAGAAAAAATTCTCATGACCTCGGTGGGAATCGAACCCACGACCTCCGGATTAGATCTGCCGTTGCTCTGCCGACTAAGCTACGAGGCCGGACAAAGAAAGTCGGGGTAGATTAAGGTGGTGAATCGCGGCGAAGAGAAAGTAAGGGTACATGTATAAATGTTGTGCCACGAATACAAATAGTGGAACAGAGAATTAACGCTGAAGCGTAAATTAAAGTGCTAAATGAAACCCATGTTGTGTACTGCGATGAGATGGAAATTTTGGTGAGGAGGAAAATTTACGCCAATAAAGTTGCCAGCCCGGTCTTAAATCAAGAAATATGTTTTTCACCAGGCAAGAGAGCCGTACTGGGAAAAAAAATCAACTTTTGCGGAAAAACCATAGTGTTTGGGGAGAGAGAGAATTAATAAGTCATTTTATCAGCTATAGGTCGTGACAGAAAATCTTGGCTTATAAATGCTGCCCAGCCGGCAAAAAATATCAATATTTGAAAAAAAGCTAAGGATGCACTGAGCGACTCAACACGCAACGGATGAGATACCACCCGCTTGAGCGGGCCTGATGGAAAAATACTGCCCGCTCCCGGAAACCAATCAGATTGCAAGATTTATAGAACACTGCCCGCTCACGCATCGAGAAAAAAAAAAGGATATAAAGTTACTGCTTTACCTTCCCGGTCATGGATCCTACTATGATATATACAACAAAGAACCTCGTTCCTGATTGGTCAATGCAAAAATATAGAGTTCATTTCGAATTTCCGAATTTAATACTCTCATAATTTACGCTTTCAAAAATAACAAACTCAGACACGTGGATCTCTACAATACCATCAAAAATATCAAGCTTTTTTTTTGTCACACTTTTGCGCAAAATGATCATTCCAAGCGAACACATGACCACCTTCCAAAGCACAGAAAGTGTTTCAAGTAACGCGCAACAAGGACGTAAAAAAGCGTCGGGAAGTTATTGTGATGAAAACATAACCAATAAAAGTCCCCAGAACTGCTCATGCATTTCGTGATTCATGGTCAGTCGTTATGTTTAGAAAAGGTTTCAAATTAAAATCGCCCAAAAGCTTGTGCAATTACGAAATCTTTTGAAACATCACGCGTGCCCATGAATCACATTTCATCATTAAGATTCGAGTTGAGGGACTTCAAGTTAAGCGTCCTAGAATTGTATCCAAAACCTAGGGGAAAAGGGTGCAGCTCGTACGCATCGATTAAAAGCTAGTTCATCAATGCCGGATAATTCTTCATAACGATTTGCTTTGATTCAATGTACTCCCAAATGCTTACCCTATAGTCTTGTTTGTAAGTTGAAGTGAGTGAAAAGTTATACTTTTGGAACCATCACTACAAATTGACAACACCACCAGACATAAGAGAACCTTATCCTGGTAAACGTCCAGATAAAGCCTAAGAGCCATATCTATATATGACCCATGAATGTTTTCAGAATATTAAACTACTATTTTATCAGATGGTTTTCCTTCCAGTTCATTTTGATTTTCTACTTAAAACATATCGTTTCGTGACGCGAAATGCTATGCTGAAATGAGTATGGTAGGAGGCCATTTCTGGCCAACTAAATAATAATGAAACTTGCTACATGATGACGATGTGAAAATTTTGCCTGAATTTCAAAACTTTCATAAAGATGAGACAAGGCATGTGGATCTCACCTGATGGAGAAAAACTGAAAGTATCCATGTCGATTGGCCGAGGAAATAAGCAAGTGACATGAAGCTGAAAAGACAACATCTGGTTCAGTGTTTGATCACTGACGCGCATGGTAATCTATCTAAAATCAACGTGACCCAGTTTTCAACGAAATATTTGAGAGTGAGGGTGTTTTGTACTGAAGGGCGCTTCTTCTCATAGTTTTCAATTGAAGCCTTCAAGTACAGAAGCAACAAATATGGGAAGGAATACCGACACGCCACCACCGTAAGATAGCAAAAAGGACTGTTTGGGCGTTGTTCAGTTTTCAACTCAATTCTACAAATTTGAATATTTTTCAATTAGGAAAAAATTGCACCATGATTCCAGACAAACTATTTCAATAGGGAACCCTTGAAGATCCAAATAAGATCCGCAATTCACATACATGTCACGTGACAAATAATGCGCAGCCATTTGCTTCTAAGTTACTGTTGATGACCAATACAAGTACTTACTTGAATATGACGCACAGATAAGTACTGTAGCTTGGATTTAAAATATAAGTTACCTGTTACCTTTATTCAGAATTACATACAGAATTGTTCAAAGACAAACACGTACCTGGCGCCTGAACCTTTTTCTTGCCTGGCTGAAAGTTCAGTGAGAACACATCGAAAATGGCCACCAGAAGTTGCATTGCTTCAATGGTTAAAAAGTGTATATCAGCATGAGGAAAACTGACACCATTACAACTAAAACAACTCCGTTACTCTAAAAGTTTTTGACTTGCTCCTCCCTAAAAATGCTCCGAATTTTGAAGATGTGATTGGGGGAGAGAGCGCTCACTAACAATACCTTAAGAATAATGAACTTCATCATGAAAAAGGTTGTGTTTATTCATCGTGGTAAAATGTGATAATACCAGCCGAACTGTGATCGTTTTCTCGCGATGTAGTCACTTGGGATGTACACCAACAGCCTAAAGAACTGGCGTGGTTTACAGGATTCCTTGTGGTAAAAGTTATATCAGAAACCATTCCTGAAGAGAGCCATACGACAGCGGACAAGAGACGGAACACGCCATCGAGATGTGCAAATAACAGCTGTTAAAAACGTAGAGCATGATGCTTCGCATTAGGTGACGCAAAACCAGTCGATGTCATCGCATAAAAAAAGTATAGCATTCTAAACTTCGCGATCCATACCGAAAGCAACCATATAGCGAGACAACAATAACAGATCAATATCAATATTAACCTTTACGCCATTTTGGTGTAAGGAAAGAAAAGGAAAAGTCTCAAAGGCTATAAGAAAAGGAGGTGTTGGATGATTTTATGGGTGATTGGAATGCATGAACAAAAAATCAAAACAGCGGCCTCATCCATATTTTCCCTCAGTTCACTCCTCAACTGTACAGAACGTGCCAAACTGCTATTTTCTCAACAAAAATACAAGAACTTTTTGTGCACCACAATTACAAACAACAAGCTGCTTACCAGTCTTCTGTCTCTGGTACGAAGCTCCTGGAAAGAAGCATCCCATGACAAGCTCAAATAACCAATCTACAAACTCTGCAACAATATAGAACAGATGTTGTGATTTTAGACGCTCTTCATGAAGTTATAATAATAACGTTTAGTATAATTACTCAGGTGATTATGGAAATTCTCGCGCTCTTATTGGCCGAGAATGGCGTCATATTCCGCTATAATCACCTTCGGCAAGGTGATTATAGTTTCAAAATGGTCGCCTCGCGCTTTGTCGATGTGTATGAAGAGGGAATTAATTTAATGAAAGAAAATGCCATTCCGAGGAATACCAAACACGCCACAAAGTTTGGAATGACACTCTTCAAGAATAAGGTGTGAAAATTGGGCATATTGTATTTCGTGGACTAGACTCGACTGGACTGGACTGGACTGGACTGGACTAGTAAAACGAGGACTAGTAAAACGCGGACTAGTAAAACGTGGACTAGTAAAACGAGAACTAGTAAAACGCGGACTAGTAAAACGCGGACTAGTAAAACGCGGACTAGTAAAACGCGGACTAGTAAAACGCGGACTTGTAAAACGCGGACCTAATTTTTTTTCATGTTTTTCCGTGTTTGTAAATCGAATAAAACTTAACGGTAACGGACTTAATAACAACAACAACAACAAAAAGCAATTTCATACGAAGGCGATCACAAGACTTAATGGCGAGCCAATTTTAAAAATTTTGTCCATTTGATGTTATGCCAATTCATTTCGACGGTTTAGTGAGTGACAATCCCTGTTTGGCCTTTAAGCTACAAATGGGTTTGACATGCGCCAGAGGTAAATCTTCGAAGATTAATCGTCGTTGGAAATGAAAAATACTTTCCGTAAGATCTCTAAGTGTTTTTCTTTTCACGAGAAAATCGTCGCATGATCATTTAACTCGTGTGTGTTTGTCACACCAGTACTTTTGTTTATTCAAAAGCGTACGCTTCTTTCCTCTTCAATTAACAGGTGTCACATCGTGACAGTTATCAAAAAAGTGTTTCAAAATTTGCTCGGAAGCCTATTAATTACCTTTACAAATAAAAATGTCTAGGCGAAAGCTTTCTCTTTAATTTGAATAATGCTTGTTTTCTTTATAACTCACTCGCCATCAAATTGTTAAGTTCAAGGAGGATTTTCCCGTAATTAAACTTGTAATTGTAGCCCTAAATCATTCGGGTTCTTTTGGCAATCAATTTTTTATGTGTTAGAAAAAAATAAAAATGTTATTGACCAGCATAGGTCGGTCCGTATTGGGAAAAACTGTGCCCTC